TTGTTGTGGGAGATAAAGGTGAGAATGAGATTGAGATAGAGGTGAAACCCATTATATGTCATGTTTGTTTTGGGAGATGGAGAGGGGATTTAGATGGAGAAGGTGAAGGTGAAAGTAGTATTAGGAAATTAGTCCTCTGGCTTAGGGTTTTTTTTTTTATTTTTTATTATTATACATGTTAGGCATTTTTTTAAACATTAATGTTTAATTTTTTGTTGAGTAAAAATTATAGTTTTATTTGTTTTAATATTTTATATTTTTTTTTATAAGGTAATAATTTAACAATCTCTACACTAACAACTATCATTAAAATAAATACAATTTTATTTAATCATCTTATTATCAATCCCTTCATTAACAATCCCCTCTATTTTACCTCTAAAAACAAACGAGATCAAAATGAATAAAAATAACATAAAATTAATTATAACTTATAATAGCTAACAAACTTTTCTAAAGAGCTCAATGGATATACTCTTAATGCTAAAATAGCATAAACACCATTTCCAATCATTCATTAGCTACTCCAATAGCTAAATAGTTAGTTATTACTAAATTTTCGCAATAAATAGAGACAAAACTAATTTTAATAATGTTGCTCTAATATTAATTTTGTAATTTTTTGACACAACAAACTTTGCCTTCATTTATTTTCTCCTATATCAACCACTTTTTCGAAACAACATAGTACATACATAATCAAAACTTTATTAACTTAAGTTAAAACTACATATAGAAAATAAAATAATCATAATAAAGAAAGAGAAAGAGCAACATTATAAAATAATCATAATAAAGAAAGAGAAAGAGCAACATTATAATCTGAGCTATTAAGTACTTGTTTGGCATGCACTAAAAAAATATATTTTTTTGCATACATATACTTATTTAGGTCACATTAATTAACATCTATTAACATTTTCTCTCTACTTTTTTATCCACTTTTTTTACTTTCTACACATTTTTTTTATAAAAAGTAAAAAAATACACTTATTTAGAACATCCCAAATCATGCCGACATTTTTGTCTGTTCCTATGCTTGATTTTTGTGTGTACTTTCTATTTGCAAATCAATCTAATTTTTTAAATGCTATGAATTTTTTTGACAATTTATTATGAAATTTGTTGATTTGTTATTTCTTCTTTTTTTTTATTTTTTTTTTATTGATTTCTGAAGTTAGTTGTGTTTTTTGATTTTTGAATTTTTTGTTGAAAGTTGAGGAGATGGCTAGTATTTCTAGACGACTTTATTAAGCTAATAGATTTAACTATAAATTTAACACAAGGCATAATAACGCTACTAAAAATATAGCAAGCCTTTTAGATAGTCATTAGAGAATAAAATTTTGAACTTTTAAACCTCACCATTAGAGAAGCTCTAAGAATCTCAAAATATAGAATCTAAAAAAGGAGGGATGAGCAAAATCTCAATTTTAGGATCTCCTTTCCTCATTCTAAGACACAAGTCGCATTAATAAATTCACAAAGAATTACCGAGAAAATGCAAAGAATCGAATTACATGTAAAAAAAAAATTATTCCCTAAAAATTAAACAAGTTCTACCTACTGAAATGATCTCAAGAGCCAGCCTCAATCAAGCCAAATCGATTACTTTAGTTGTTCCTTTGTAATCCTACTCTACATATTAACTTACTGAGTGAAAGAATAGCATCAATATAAAGAACATAAGCTAGAGGTCCAGGACAAATAATTTAAAAGTATATTTAATATTTATATATACAATTCGAATTGCTAACTATTTTTGCCCAAGCCCAATCCAAATCTAATTTGGACTTTTAAATTTCTATCCAAGCCCAAACCGAATTTAAAATTATGTTGTCCAAGCCTTACAAAATTTCAAACTGGTATCGGGCTGGCCAAGTTGCACCTACTCATCCTAAACCTGTCGTTAAGCCCACTCGCCTTGTCCTTGATTACAGCACCCCACTCTGTGATCAGACTGGTATCGGGCTGGCCAAATTGGACCTACTCATCCTAAACCCGTCTTTAAGCCCACTTGCCTTGTCCCTGATAACAGCACCCCACTCTGTGATCAGGTTAAATGGGTAACCCATGGGCCCTGTTTGTTTTGGGATTAAATAGATAGGTGGGGATTAGAATGGAGGTGGGATTATTTAGTGTTGTGTTTATTTATAAAGTTGGAAAGTGGATTAGGATGGAGGAGGTGATATAGATGAAGGTTAGAAGGGGAATTGAGATGGAAGAGGTAGAGATGGAGATGGTATTAGAAAAATAGTGAGGGGATTAGAAATTTTTTTATTTTTTATATATTGAGAATTTTTTTTAAATATTAATATTTAATTTTTTATATTTTATATTTTTTTATTTGTTTTATTATTTTATATAAAAATAATTTAACAATTCCTATACGTTAACTATCATCAAAACAAACACAATTTTACTTAATCCCCTCACTATGAATCTCCTCAATTCTACTTCTGAAAACAAACGGGGTCATGTAGTCATTCATTCCACAAACCCTTGTTTGGTGAGAGTCAAGAGACAGCCCATCAAATCTGGTTCAGGGTTAAACTTGGACAAAGGAGACTTGAGACTTGAGAGCAAAAGAGAAATCCTAAATTATATTTAAACTAACGGTAATATCCTGTACTTTGCTCCTTATGTGAACCAACATCACCAAGATGTCCATCAACTCGGCCACCTTCTTCCAGTCATTCAGCCCTCTACAAAGGACAATGTCCCAGAAAAACTTGGCTATCCAACAAATAATCACTCACCGAATCAAACAGGCAATATTGGGGAAGGCATCCTCAAGACTATTCACCATTTCTAAAAATGATTTTATCCCTTTTTGAAGTAAACTGAAAATCCTACCACCTATTTGACTGGCTCGGGGAGAATAAGATGTTAAGTCGTCCCTGATAATTTCTGAAAACAGAAAAACTGGATTCTCAGAAAAAGAGATCCACACAAAACAATGCATACTAGTTTTCCCCATACATCATCCCAAAATAACTGTTACTGGTTGCCTCCAAAAATTCATGTTTCTTACCTCTGATATGATTTATATGCCTGCAAGTGAAGCCTTACTCCCTTACAATCTCACATTTTCCACCACGAAACTGTGAGAAGGGAATACCAGGACATCTAACCAATGATAGAGAGTACAGTGAAATTCTTCACTCAATTAAACCCACTTTTGTTCCGCCAAGCCATGAAAAGGGCATAGCAGGACATCCAATCCAACCAATGATAGAGAATGCTAGTATAGTGAAATTCCCTTGTCCAAATTAAAATGCATTTGCACTACATGTAAACCAAAGACACAAGTAACAGCTTTCTAACATCTTTCTAGTGCATATCATCATAAGATCATCTTCAGAGTAGGTATCACTTGTTTTCAGGAGGGTTGCCCCTCAAGATCATTCTCTGAGTGAAGAGGACAAAGAGACGGTAAATAAAAGAGATTCAAAAGATATCAGGTCTCATGAAGTCAAGTTCTCAACATTGCAATAAAAAGAGAAATGCACACGACTAACAATGGATATGCACAATTTCAGTTTCATTACAAAACAAAAGAAGTTGAAGATACAAACCAAATAAATTTTCTAATAAGCAAGCAAAATCATCAAATGGGCAACCAGACAGTTGAACTGCAAAGCAAATATACCAAAAATGAAAGTATAAGGTCAAAAAAAATATTGATAAACCTAGCAATGGTTGGGCTCTGTCAATGTCCAAAACTTCTCAACTTACCAAACCAATTGTTATGGAAAATATTAAAAATCGTTAAAAAGTTACAAGGGAAAGTAATCTCAACCTACGCCTTCCAATGTAGCAAGCAGTTCCCTTCTTATAATAGGGACATATCCCTCACAAGGCCAATTTATGAATTATAGTTCATCATGACCTACATCACAAATAAACTGAGATTTCCCTTTTGTAGAACTCTGTAAGCAGTGAAGACTTCTAAATCTCAAGAATAGTGAAAACAAACATTAGAAAATGAATCAATTTGTCTTTTCCCACAGAATCAAAATAATAAATAAGGCACAACCTAAACCTGAGGAGCATGCTCAAAATGACATACGACGTACACGCAGCAAACTAAAACTTGAGCAAACTAAATAAGGCACAACCTCTAGAGTCTACTTTCTTTCATTTCTAAGTAGTCTTGAGCAAACTAAAATTTGGTGTTCATCCACACACGGATGTGAACATTGCATTGTGGACCCACCACATTGTATGTGAGGAACCACTTTAGGTCTCGTTTGTGATGCACATTTTTGACTAAAATAGCCAATAAAGACAAAAATGACTAAAATAGTCAATAAGGCAAAATGTCACATCCAAATCATAATCATTTTATTTTTTTTCTCATAATCATCAATTCAACTACAAAAAATATCAAAAATCAACCAAAACACAATTTTTTTAGCCAGGCTAAAGTAGCAAAAAAGCCAAGCTAAAAAAAACTCATCCCAAACGAGCACCTAATTTTGGTTCAAAGTAGACCAAAAAGTTAAAATATCAAAAACCATTTTCTAACACATAATGGCATCAGACTCACTAGCTAAGACAGACGCATACACGTAGCACAACACGGATACAACAGGCACAAAAATTTTCAAAAATATAGACATGACATGTGGATCACACATGCAAAATTTACAATTTCATATATATATATATATATACATATTTATTAATGTCATATATAAGAACAAATAATTATTATATGTCATATAATAATAATTTTTAAAATCTAAGAATAAGTATAGATTTATATTATTTTTGTTTTATCATTGAATTCCAAAGTATTTTATTCAAAATTGTAGTATGTTTCATATGTGTCTAGGTGTTCGTGTTGGTTACCTCTTTTTAAAGTGTTTGCTTCCTGGAGATGAAAGCACTATTTCAAGCATAGTATAATTCCAATCGTGTCTCATTATTATTATTTTTTTATCAGAAACAATGCTAAAGAAACGGAATTCTATAACAGATTCATCACACTCCCAAACACCGAAAAAAATGCATCTATTTGCACCTTAAAGTACAAGCATGGCACTCTTGTGACTTTTGAATACGAAAGTAAACAACTTTTTTTCTCCTCTCTAATCAACCATCAATTTCAAGACACCGCAAATCCAAATTGCAAGCTAATCTAAATAAGCAAAATTCCTTTCAATCCGGTGCATAACATCCAAAATTTATCAATTATTGGAAGTAAAACAATCCAGATCTACAGTATATCTATCAATTCGCGTATAGAAAATAAAACATTACAACAACAATCAACAATATTTATATTTTTTTTATTTTCTTACAAAACCTGACGAAGAATTCTCCTAGAATTCACTGCCAAAGCCTTGCGATCATATTCATGAAGTCCGGAATCGGACTCGTCGCGGTACCAGCCCACCGATTTCTGAGCCTCTAATACAATTTGAGAAATACCTGTGAATCAAATCAATACAAAAACACACCCAAAAAAAATAAAAAAAACGAATAAGATTCAGATCGAAGATTATGCAAACATGTATGTACAGAATTGTGAGTGTGTGTATGCAGAGAGAGAGAGAGAGAAACCTCCGGAGACGGTTTGTTTGTTTTCACGGATATCTTGGACGGTGGCGGAGATTTTCCAGTAGAGAGGACGGCAGAGGTAGAAGAAAGCGACTATGAGGAGAACGGCCAGTACTATGCGAAACGTAACCCTAGCCCTTGTCGTCGCCATTGTTTACTCCTCTCGTCTGTGTGCTTGTGAGAGTGACTGTGACAGAGAGAATTATTCAAGTGGTATTGCATACTGTTACGCGTGTTGAGACTGCTTATAAATTGATTTCAAGTTTCACCGACAATCTAGATGACACGGATTTTTATTTTTCTATGATACGTGAACCATAAATAAATAAATTTAGACAATTAGATTTAAAAATAAAATAAATTTAATTATTAATTAATAATAATTAAAATAATGTTAAATTTTTTTGACAATTTTGTAAAAAACAAGGTAATTTTTATTGGTTTTGAAACCAAAAAGTAATTTTCAACTTATCACAATAACTAAGTACATTTATTATTTTTGACATGATTATACTTATTATTTTTAATAACAATACTTACTATTCAATTATTAATAACATGCACTTGAGGTAACAAGTAAACTTAAAAAATTAAATTATAATAAATTTTCAAAACCTTTAAAATAAATATAAAATTTATAAAATAGAATTTAAGAAAAAAATATGCAAAATAAATGTGAATTTTATACATTTTATTATAATTTATTACATTTTATGAAATATGATTTTTTTTTATCTACTTAATGGCAATAAATGAAACCTAATTTCCTTTTCATTTACCACACTTGAAAATAATAAATGCAATTAAAGAAGAAATATAATTAATAAAATATAAGAAAATTTAAAATTTATTTGAGGATTCTATGAACAAAATTTTTTGCTTATTTTTAAAATTTTTGAATATTTGAAGATTTGAAGATAAGATTGTTGTTGATTTGGAACTTCTTAAGTAAGAATCTATGTCTCTATAGTCTCTATCTTTTCTTTAACTTAAACTTTTCATGATATTTTGAATTTACAAATTTTAATGTTTTGTTGGAACAACATTTCATCTAGTTAAAAACAAAATTATGAGATTTAAGTGGTAAGAAAAAAAATAAATAAATCAAGTTTGATGACACAGTAAGTACAGTCTTAAGTTTAGTTTAAATAATTAATCAAGTCTACTAAAATAGTAAATAAAGTCCTATTGAGTAGTAAATATTGTTTAAGTGATGAGTCAAGTTTCATAAAATAGTAAGTAGAATCTAATTGAGTAGTAAGTGTTGTTTAAGTGATGAGTTAAGTTTGATAAAGGCCCCGTTTGATAGAACTGTGAGAAAGTGATTATAGATTATGCCTTAACAGATTATAGATTATAGCTTTAAATTTAAGTTGTTAATCTGTTTAGTACAACAGCGGGATTATGAATTTAATCAGCAAAGTAGTGTCTGGTTTGATAAGTTGTAAAATAGTTTTTTGCTGTGTAATGTCCTTTTTGCCTCTTTTTTTTATTCATTTTATTTTATTTTATTTTCTTTTCTTTTTCTCCTTACTTTCTCTTTCTCTTCTTTCTTTTTTATTTTTTCTTCTCTTAATTGTTTTTTATTCTCTTCCCTCTTTATCTCCTTTTTTTTTTCTTTTCTTTTCTTCTCTTATTTTTTTTTCTTTTTCTTCATTTTATTTTATTTTCTTTAGTTTATAGTTTATTTTTTCAAATTAGAAGTGGTGCATGTATGGTGAGATTAAAATTTTGAAAAATGCTAAAATACCAATTAAAATTTTCAAATTATATTCATTTTAGTTTATAAATACATGAATATTAATTGATATATTTTTAATTTATTAAAAATTGTTACAAAATATACCAATTTATTAATATTTTTTTAATTTAATTTATTATCAATTAATGGCTTAATTAGTATCAATTAATACTAAAATTATTAATTAGTAGAAATTAATATAAAATTTATTTCATTAATGGCTTAATAAAACAAACAATTTTTAGTATTAATTATTATTATTATTATTATTATTATTATTATTAAAAAAACACTGAAAACCCTAGCCGCCGTTCCATCGGTAATCCAGCAAAGGCAAATGCTCCGGCAGCCCTTTCTCCTCCTTTCATTCCTTGCCGCCGTTCCATCGCAGACATGGAACAATGCCAGAGAGAGAGAGAGAGAGAGCGCTCTGGTTCATCGGAAAGGGAGCTTTACTAAGATCACTTCTTTATCGATCGCGATGGGGGACGACGATGAAGGCATAGCGGCGTTGTGGCGACTATAACGCCCTCAAAATAAACCCATTTATCATACATTCTTGACATGCTTAGACAAAAGAGAATAAAGCATAATTACATTTCATCAGAGTATTCATTACAAAATGTATTACATGTTGACAACAAAAGTAAGTGCTCTATAGGCTTACAACTTTCTAAGTCAACACTTGGTTACAAAATGAGAGTACTAACTCTACACAAAATAAGCCATTGGCTTGATATACATGTAATACAAAAAGTAATCACAAAAGATGTCCCAGCCACTAAGCCTCTCAAGCTACGTCTTTGGAGGTGGCATGCTACCTGTACCTGAAAATGATGTCCCATATAGGGTGAGCCAACGCCCAATAGAGATATGCTAAACATAATACGAGCAATAACTAAAACATTAGCATTTGATAAATGTTTAACTTACATAAATCAATTCATAATCCATTTCAATTACATGACAAATGTGTCTATGTTTCATTCCATTTTTCATTTCTTAACCCTGGCTCAGAACCTGGACATATACTTTAAATGAGATTATATCTCATATCAATAATATTTCCATTTTAACAATTGAGATAACCGCTCAAATTAAACAATTCATACTTCACATTAGATACACATAATTGCTGTATCAATCTCAAATAAAAGCACTTCCGTACTTCATATATGATACACAGATTTGCTGTATCAATACTTCAACAGATACACATAACTGCTGTATCACTAGAGTACATCCCCTATCTCCTCCCAAACAATATCCGGTTTAGGAGTCCATCCCCTATCTTCCCCTAAACCATGGAGTACATCCCCTATCTCCTCCCACTCAACACAATGTATATGTGTTTACACATAACTGCTGTATCACTAGAGTACATCCCCTATCTCCTCCCAAACAATATCCGGTTTAGGAGTCCATCCCCTATCTTCCCCTAAACCATGGAGTACATCCCCTATCTCCTCCCACTCAACACAATGTATATAAACACATATCATATACATAAGCAATCAATACACAAATTTGATGTATTATTCCAACCTTCATATTCGATGACATTATTCAATTGATTAGTTTTAATTTGCCTAATCATCATGCATTGTCTACAACAATCAAGACTATCCTCCACCGATAGCCCAAAGCAGTTATTTCTAAATAGATAATAAATGCCTCAACAGACAAATAATCTCAACATTTACAAAGTGAGCGATTAATAAATCCAACTCTATCATTTTATCTCATAATGAGTCAATTCCATTATTTCCAACTCAATTCCATATTTCCATAATAGTTGTCATTAATTACACTAATGACCCAAATATGCCCAAACATGGTATTTTCCCAATTTTCTCAATATTGACCCAAAGGCCCCAAATAACTCCAATGACATCAATACTATCATTTTAAGACCCAAGATATACATTTATGAGTCAAAATAACATAACCCTTCTTTCCACATTTAGAAACCCTAACACCCAAAATCACCCAACTTCAACATTAAATCAAAATGACTAAACATTTAGGTCAAAGATTATAAAAATGAGTAGGAACCTCTATCTCAAATTTCGGAGCTCAACGAAGAAGATGATGAAAACTCAAAGTGCTCCAAATCCCAAGATTTTCGGATCAAAAGATAGCTCACACCAAAGTCAACACTTTTGTAAAGGCTCAAGGGTAGGAGATCACTCTAACTAGATCAAACCCTAAAGAGAAGGTAGATTCTAGAGAGAGGAGCTCTCAAAAATGGCTTTTTGAAAAGTAAGAGAGAGAAGGAAAGTGTAAAAGTGATCTAAAATCACCCAGTTGCCATCTGATATACGATTAGTCCGCTCGAGCAGAGAATAGGACGCTCGAGCGTCAAGCACAAAAACTAAACCCACTCGAGCGCAAAAAGGCCCGCTCGAGCGCCAAGACACAACTGCAAAACACACCCGCTTGAGCGCAAAAGAAAAGCCGCTCGAGCGTAGATCACACTCCTCCAGTACTTTTACGGACATCAAACACCCGTTCGAGCGCCAAGAGGTCCGCTCGAGCGTGACCCGCTCGAGCGTAAGGAAATCTGCTCGAGCGTGAAAAACGCACCTGTAGAAGTTTTGCAGAGGCACAAAATGCTGAAAGTGTAAAAACTTCGCTCGAGCGCAAAGGGACCCGCTCGAGCGGACCACCAAAAATTTGGGCAACAAGGAATGGGATTAAAGCTCAACTAACCTATTCGAAACACGCCCAATACATCCTAGAACTCAAACATACGGAATTAAATGATGACAACAAGACACATACAACAACCAACTCCACGGAACCTAAGTCCGGAATACGATAAATAAAGAGAGGATAAACCAGGATCGCTATAGCGACGCTATGGTTTGAGATCGCGACAGCGGAAGATCGATTGTGACGGCATGGAAGGGTTTAAGATCGATCGCAAACATAAACATCCTTGAAGAGAGAGAGATCTGCTGCGATCGCGAAGAGAGAGAGAGAGAGAGAGAGAGAGAGAGAGAAAGAAAGAGAGCTAGCTTTGGTTCACTTGCAAAACCCTAGCCGGCAGCCTCCAAGTCAGATCGTGAGAGAGAGAGAGAGAGCTAGTTCAAGAAATCGCGCCAGAAATCACCTCTCAAGCTTTCTCTAGCTGAAGAAGTGAACAGTGTTTGGTTGAGGGCTTATATATTGGTTTTTTTGGTAATAGTTGAAGTTGATGAGCGGCATTTAAGCAATTTTGCCCCTCCCTTCCCAGCTTGCCACTTAAGCTGAATCAGTTAAGCACCCCCCACAGCCACTTCAAGAAAAACTAATTTTTGACTTACAAAGAGCTATAATCTGTATTATTGAGTTACACCAAACACAATAAAACAGCTTAAATTAAGCTAAAAGCTGAAATAAGCTAGAAAAAAGCTCTACCAAACAGGCACAAAGTAGCAAGTAGAGTCTCATTAAGTAGTAAATGTTGTTTAAATGAGTAGTAAGTCAAGTCTGATAAAGTAATA